CAGGCATCGGAACTGTATCCGTTGTGTTCTAGTTTTCAGGATTTGCAACTCTCACTCGCAAAGCTGGGGTCTGATTTCCGGGAACGGAAGCAACCGGAACGATCCAAACCAAACTCAAGGTGTTGCCGTCAGTATACCTTTCTTCGGAATACCCGGGGAAAGAGGTCGTGCGTTTCAAAAAAGTTGAGCAGAGAAATACTCGATGGCCATCTTGTGAAATGGTAAGGAGGTCTTCGGCTTTGGTGCTTTCCAGGGGGTCTGCATGTGTTGAGAGTTCTCTTGTTTGAACTTTATATTTTGTAGATTGAGCTTTGTAGTTTATACCTTGTGGTTTCATCTTGTAGTGGATGGGTTGCTGGTGATTGAAACGCAAGATTGCAAAGGCGATGCTTAACGCTGACCTTAAGTTTATTTGTGTGTTTAACTCCCGAGCCTGAGCTGAATGCCTGAACAAAAGCCTAGTTTCTGAAATAAGGCTCTATAATTTAGCCCGATTTAAAAGATTTGGATTCTTCTAAACTTCTACATTTAAATGGTTTTTTCAGCGTTTTTTCTTTTTATGATCTTCTTTTTTCTTTTCTTTTTCTTTTTTTCAGTTTCGAAGAAGAACCGTAAGTCGGACTTCGCTTTCTTGTAGAACAAAAACTTTCAGGAGCGCAGAATGAGGGTAATTTTAGGAGCTCAGAAACCACGAGTTACGAGAACTAGAAAATGCTGTAGTATAGATTACCTCTTACAACTCTGCGGAGTAAGAATTTGTTAATATTTTTAAGTTAAAGTACAGCTTTGGTATCAAATTTTTAATGGATTAAGGCATACCGGATATTTGTAGTTGCCCGCTGCTTTCTTCAGAATTGGCTCAGGATGGTTTTAACACTGCAAAGCGTATATGCTTACGGTAAAGATAGTAGGTTTCTTTTTTCGGTTTCACGTTCCGTTCGGGCTAGTACCTCAAAATACCGAAAGCTTGGAATCTGCAAATTGTTAAAGGTTGTAGTTTGAAAAAAATTCTGCACGAAATATGTCTTTTATGAAAAAATTTGAAATTTCGCTTTTTCTTCTATGTTTTTTAAATTTTTATTCTTTTTGTATTTATATAATTTTTTTAATGTGATTAAAACATGCAATCTGCTTTTAAACATCCAGAAAATGTCATATCAAATGAATGAAAAGCCATTAAATTCTAAAGGGAACGGGCTAAATTACAGGTCTGCAAAAATAGGCTTGTCAAGTGGCTACCTAGCAAATTTCGCAACGTTGAGGAGTTGTAAAATTCATTTTTCCAGGTTTTCTTCGGGCTTTTCCATGCTAGCCTAGACTCTACTAACCAGCAAAGTTTCAAAAACTCTGAGGTATGAAGGGGAAAAAGTGTGCGATTTGGCATGGAACGGCTTATACATATATTCCATGCAAAGTAGCATACCTTTCTCCCTTTATATCTCAGACTTTCTTCAAATTTTCCTGATTGGTTGAGTCTAGGCGGATATACAGAAAGTGAAAAAAAAATTTGGAAAAGTAAATGTTCATTTCACCAGTTCAAAAATAAATAAATCAATAAATAATATACATGTATATTTTTTCTTATTTCTCTGGTTTTTTTATTTACTTTTACATTATTCCACCTTGAGAAAACTAAATAAAGGAAAAGTGGAATATTTATTTAAATCTTTGAATTTTGGTTGTCTCAATAAAAAGCAGTTTAGAATCTTATCACGAAGTGACAAAGTTTGGCTTATTGATATCGCATATTACGTTGTAAGTCTTTGACAATATCAAGGTAATATGCTATGTGTAAATAAAAAACAGAACAACAGGGCGGCACATTCTTTGCACTGTCGTTTACTGCGTCTTAAGTTTCTCTAGCAGCCCTTCTGTTCCAACAATCTTTTTTACCTTACCTCCAGGCCCTCTGTGCCTCTGGCTACCTCCTTACTTTACAGAGTGTTTTTATAAGGATACCGCATATTAAGTTTACACTGTCAAAAGATGATGATGAGAGTTTGGAAAGTCGAATTGCACTGAAGTCTCTAAGTAGTTTAAATGGAAGGCATCCTTTACGAAGTCGATGATTACCTGCGGCTGTTTTATTTTAAGCTCAGCATTCCTCATGTGAACGGGGAAAGTGGCGGAAAACGAGGAAAGATTTACTTAGACATGGCATATTACCTAATTGCAGGTTTGTTTGGTATCTCAAGTTAGATCCGTAGCTACAGTGCAAACATTCTTTTTAATAAAAAAGCTTTGATCACTCTGTTCTACAAGTTCGCTGTACAGGAAGTGTTGCTCATAAGATCCCTGTTCTGTACGCCATTCACTTAAAGTTAACAGATACGCAGCAGTAAGTAATACCCAACTTGTCTTTCAAATACTTGAAGGGTATTACCTGTTCATTTGCCTGCTTCTATTGGCTATTAAACTGCGTTATCACCAACGGCTTGAAACGAAATTTAATTAGGATTTTTGGCAGCAGTATGGTATACAATTATTTAGCACAGTGAAGGAGAAGTTTTGCTGAACATCTAGAAAAGTGATTTTGCCAGGCAGTGATTATCCTGAACATGTAAAATTGGCATGGCACTCGCTACAGGAAAAATTTTAAAAGCTTACCAGTTTTGTCATTCACCACATGGTACGATAAGAATTAGACTAGTGATTCAATCAACAATTTTTGAGATCATTAGTTGTAAAACGATCCAACAATGATTTCCCGTTTGACTTTGACAACCTCGTAAAATATTTATTGCTCCAGAACTACCAGCTGTCTACAGATGCAGATTTTGAGTCTCTATGACAAGCTAACACTAAATTGTCTGCTCAAAGACAATTTTTTTTCTGCTTAATATATTTATTAATATTTTGTTTTAATTTGATCTTTCTTCCTACTACAAAATTATATAAATACTTTCTCTATCAAAACAGTCTACACGTTCCACATATTACTACTGAATCCTCATTATCTTCCTTTGCATATTCTCACTAGTTCATTTAGAAGAAAAATTGATTTTCTCTTTTTAAGGTGTAAATCATATGTGTAAAAAAAGAAAAAGCATTTTGAATACTAGATAAGTGATTATTGCTGAAATATCTTGTAGACGTGAAGAATTTTAAATTTCTGCTTTCCTTTCTTCTAATTCTGTTTTTTTTTTTCTTTGTCATATTTAGTCGATGTCAGTAGTTGTATAACTTGCACACAAAAAACCCTGGCAGTTAAAACTTTTTTAAAGCTTTTAATTGTTTTATAGTATATTTTTTTAACAATTTTTTAATTTTATTTTAGTTTAATGTGTAACTTTGACTTGCTGAAAATTCAAAAAAAAAAAAGTATTTTTCAATGCAAAAGGAACCACGATTTCTAATTAAGCTTTTGTCAGGTAGTTCTTGAACCTGAGTATTTCAGCTATGCTACGTTTATTTTTTTCAAGAAGCTTGCTTGTAATGCTGTTCGCAGTTATTGTGCTGATGGTATCTGCAGAAATTTCAATCTGTGTTAGAGGTCAGTTGTTGTGCCAAGATAGACCCGTGCCAGATAACTACCTGTCTTTAGCAGAGACACTCTTGTTTTACGGTCAGTTTTAACTTTGGTATAGTGTGAAGAAAACAAACAATTGTCTTGACTAATTTTGTTTAGATATTCCGCTCAGCGTTTCTAGGACTAAAGAAAATGGAATGTTTAATATTACCTGTACGTTGCCTTCGTGTTCTAAAGGTCTGCTATATGTTCAACTACTGCACAACTGTAGTAAATGTCGTCAGGAGGTAACTTTTTTTTATGTTCAAAACCTGAAGAATAACAATTTTTGTTCTTTAAAACGTCTTCAACAAACATAATTAGAACAAATTAACTACAAGAAAAATATAAAAAAATTGTTTAAGTGTCATCATAAATCAGTGATTAATTATTTATTCTGGCTATAAGTCTTTACGATTAAGTTTCAGCTGAAAAAAATTTTCTTATTGGGGATAATAGCACTACTATTTCCACTTCTGTTACAACTTTTATAATTCACAGTATGCTTCTGCAGTTGTTAAGCAATGAGAGGAAGACTTATTATCAAGAAAAATATTCACATATAATTGAATTTTTGAGACAATATTTAACAATAAAACATAAAAAATTCTTTGCTGTAAAAAATTTTCTTTTGTAGAGGTGTTCGTCACTTCGTTACCGTGTAAAAGTGCCGCTTGATGACTGTGAAAATGGAGGCAGTTACCGAGTCGATTTTAATCAAATAGAACTTTCCGGACGAGGAGAAAATTTAAGAGGTTTTTTAAACAGAAACCTGGGTATGACAAATTGTAATCGAGCAAATGCTCGCCAAAATATGCAGTTAAAACAGCGTAACTGAACTCTTTAAGAAACCGTATTTTCTATTGAGATTGCAATACAACTTACATTCTCACATTTCCTGAAAAATTTTTTAATATTTTTTAATCGTGGTCATTCTTTTCAAATATAGAATGGGTCAGACAGTCTGTGTATTTATATCAGCATAATTACCTCAACTGATTTATAATTTGTTTGTATTTCACATGGGCATTCACAGTAACATCTGCTTTTAATGTGACAGAATTTTTTTTTAATCAAAGCTCCAAAGTTTACCTAAATGAACAACAACAAGCCTTGGTTCTACTGTAGCTTTGTAGCGTGTACAGATAAAGTTTTGAATAATCGCGAAATAATTTGCATAAACTGCAGCGCCCTCGTTTATGTTTGATATTCAAAGCCTTAAACACTAAACTTTTTTTTTTAACTTTTGAACGATGGTACTGTATGCAGAAATATTTGATTTCTATAATTATTTTTTTCACTTACTATTACTTATTTTACGTGTTTTTTGATACTTTTTAACAAAGTCAACTGTTATCTCAGCTTCACTTTTTAACAGATAACTTTTTTTCCAACGATTATCTGCTTTAAAAGTATTCGTTTGTGGGAGATAAGTAGACAGTTTTCGTAAAGAGCTTTTGACAAGATCTTTAATTTAAAAATTTTAGAGGCTTAGGTATGTTTTTTTTTTTT